ATATTAATAATAATTTTGAAGATCAGATTTACATTAATATAGAAGAATGATGGTAAGCTGGAGTATAAACTAATAAGGATAATTAATAATTCTTGGAGAAATTCAAAGCATAAGTTGCCCAAATCATACTAATTTAGATCACTTTTTTTTTCATTAATGAGATTGAGAAGAAATTATTGAGCTGAGTTACGAAGCACGCGAGGATTTGCAGAGCACGAGAGAAGTGTTAGAAGAACTTCTCAACACTTCTCGAGTGTTCTGTCAATCTCCAAAATATGCTTTATAACTACACACAGCACAGCAAGCAACTGTTCTGCAAAGCGTCTCTTCCATATCAAATTTTATATTTGGTTTGCACATTCAATTTCAACATGTTATCCATTTAACAAATTGACATCAGATTTTTATGTGTCTGTCCTCAATGTGATGACGCAATTTATTGTCAATAAGAGGACAGATACATAAAAATTTGATGTCAATTTGTTTTTTAAAATAACAAAAACGATCAAAACTTCTCATTTTTAGCGATCAAAACAACCAACGGAAAGAGCGCGCGCTCGTTGACGTCAGCTTTATCTGTCTGTCCTCTTATTGATGATCAAAAATAGCCAATCAGCGCGCGAGAAATTTCTAAGTTATTGTAAAACATTTAATCTTTAGATTCCAGTATTTGATTTTTATACGCACCTAAAGTCAAAAATTGTTTTCGTTATATCTTTGCAAAACTAACGACCGACAACATTAACGTTTTTTGAAATAAGTCAAATAACACTTGATTTCGAATTCTTCTATATATAGGAAATACTGGTGCATTACAATGTTACAGTTGCAGTGGATCATCAGGTAGATGCTCCTCTTCTATTACCTGCTCATATTTGTTTGGCAGGGGTGTTTGTTACAAGAAGACCTATGACACTGGTTATGGAAACTCGAAAAGGCGCGTTACAGATGCTGGATGCCGATCAAGTTGTACTTCGTCTTATAGAGCGAGTGCTTGTAGAAACCAAGTAAGTAAATGGTTCAAATATAAGCTTTTGGAAGTACTATTATTAGTCTTTTGCTCATTGTACATGAATTCAGGGGTTCCAGAACCCCCTGTAAAACTCGTTGTATTCTCCTTTTTTAACATAAGATATATTACAGACAATCCTTTCACTATGATATCATAACTGCTTTCCTATTGAAAGTTTTGACCCTTGTAGGTTAATAAACAATCTGCCATTACAATCTATCTATCTAATCTGTTCGTCACCTAAAAAGAAACCAAGCTCCGATTGGTCAGATTATTAGCCCTTCCAAGGTCGAGGAAAAGCCTGGGTCGAGTTGGTATCGCAGTGCAATGCGGGACTGTTTTAGGGAACGAAATAGACGCCATCTTGGAAATATGTCTCCTAAAACAAAGGCATAGGTAGTTACGTTTTGCTTCATCCGCTTGGAAACTATTCCTGGACTTGATATTTTTCATACCAATTAAAGTTCCTGTAAAATCAAGGACGGCGGAACAGGGAGGCCGCGTGCCTGGACCCCCACAAAACATTGGTTCACATGAAATATAAATGCATAGATTCGATTTTTATTACTGTTATTAAGTTATTGTTGGGATTTTTTGCAGAAGATTTTCTTCCGCGGCTCCTGAAAATGCATCTTTAAGCTATCTGCAACTTTTATGAACACCTTTATTTGTTAAATGCAAGCATTTTTTTTGTTAAATCCAGATTTATTTGTTAAATCCAACGTAATATCTTATGAAAGAAAAATACTTTTTTAAAACACTGTATCATTGTTGTTTTAAAGAGAAACTGTCAGATGACATGCTGCAGTACTTCCTTTTGCAACAGAGCGTCAAGTGGTGGAACTAGCTCTCGTAAGTTGCATTGTTAATCGTCAGTCAGTCAGTCAGTCAGTCAGTCAGTCAGTCAGTCAGTCAGTCAGTCAGTCAGCCAGTCAGTCAGTCAGTCAGCCAGCCAGTNATGAAAGAAAAATACTTTTTTAAAACACTGTATCATTGTTGTTTTAAAGAGAAACTGTCAGATGACATGCTGCAGTACTTCCTTTTGCAACAGAGAGTCAGTCAGTCAGACAGTCAGTCAGTCAGTAAGTCAGTCAGTCAGTCAGTCAATCAGTCAGTCCTTTGAAACAGTCACAGCTAGCGAGTTTATTACACGAGTCAAACATCGCCGCGGTTAGAGTCTAACCCTTGTGAACATTTTATCCTAGCCAATCCCAGTTGCTACACTTGTGTATCGACTTCATCGTACCAAGGCTGCGAAAACAAAGCCACTTTAACTAGATGTAGTTCTACCACATCCTCTTGTTACAAAATGGACTACAAGATATCCTCGTCATATGGCAACCTTAGTTTTTACAGTAAAGGCTGCATACCCGGTTCAAGTTCCTGCAGTCAAATGCGATCCACGTATTGCAACAGCAGAGCAATGGATACTTGCAATGTTCACTGCTGTACTGGTTCCGGCTGTAATGCAGGCTCAGTTGAGCGGTTCAGTGTTGTGGTACTTATGACATGCGCTATTGCGTTTTTCATTTCTCAAAATGTCCGTTTTTTGACGTGAGATACCCATGCCAGCTGTTTTTCATAGCCGTCTTTTAGTTAAGTGGAGCAAAGGCTCCCATTACATGTTATACTGTTCATTATCTGTTTAATTAGTTGCATTCAAAAAGTTAAGACCGGAAATTAATGTATCGTTTAATAAACAAGCATTTCAGTAGAGTAATCTAACGCGATGACGTCACAAAGTTGGATTTCAAATGACGTCACGAAGTTTGATTTCAAACGACGTCACAAAGTTTGATTTCAAATGACGTCACAAAGTTTGATTTCAAATGACGTCATAATTAATTTTTAGCATTTTGAAAACGTTGATAACATACTTATATTCTATCGTAAAAATTAAGTATATTGTTTAAGTTTTAGAATTAAGTGATATTAAGTGATCTCCCTAGATGAGCTCGCATGGGAGCTCTTGGAGACAACTTTAAACTATATGTTTAAATGAATAAAGAGGTTTTAGAATAAAAAAGTGAGATATCCATCTTAAGGTCGATTTATATTTACGATATTACCTCGCGCAACTTTCCTACGCCAAGTTTTAGCCCATTTGCGGCAGTCATAATCAAGATTTACGATCTATTTACACGAAGAAATTCGATACAATACAGTGGCAATTATTGAGGCTGAGTATGATATGAAAAATTATGAATAGCGAGGACAGCCGTAGTCTAAGGGAGATAACACTCTCTGAGGTATGCATAATCTTTTATATCATACGACAGCCGAATTCAATAATTGTTTTATTACTTATTCCAAATATTATCCAACCGTTGTATTTCGTCTTCATACAAGCTTAAAAATCTTGAAGCCAGTTTGCAATTGTGTTTGCGCACGTGACGTCATTCGACTGATATTTTTTTACTAATTCGACGTATGACGTCATACCGTAGAATAAAATCATTATAGAAAGAATGGCGTTTTCGTTCAAAATTTGGTAAGTCATAGACCAAATTCAAATCTCGCACCGATGTGAGGCTTAAGTTGAGAACAAAGGAATCTGGCGTTATTCGTGACTTTTGAATCACGCCAGATCACTTTGAGTCACGCCAGATCCCTTTGTTCACAACTTAAGCTTCACATCGGTGCGAGTTTTGAATTTGGTATATTGCTTGCTATGAAAAATTAATCGTGGAATATTGGCCAATCAGCAACGAGAAAATATTTTGAATAAATAACTGATTTGTTTAAGATGTTGACGCAATAACTTTAGTGAGTTATCTAACGTACGGCCCTCTTCGTGTCGTCATCATGTTGCGCATGACAGTTATATGAGGAAAAATCGTACTGTGAATTATAAATCGCTCTTGGAAATAGATGTCATTACTTATTTATTCGATTTTGAATTGATTTGAATTTGGTCAGGTTTTTTACAGAAATAAATACAATCTTTGTTTATTGTGTATAGAGTATCCATGGTGACTGTATGTAATGTTCTTTAAATAAATAAAAAGTTTTGATTAAACTAATTTTTTGTCATATGATAACAGTTATCCGTTAGCATGGTACTCACATTTGCTCGGATGACTGCGTAAAATGGCGGCTTCGTTTATCATCATCACGTATCATCATTATCATCATCTGTACAGAATGCTGCTGCCAGAATAATCACTCTTTCCCATAAACATGACCACATTACAC